TGTCCCCACTGTGGAAGGATGTGTGGACCCAGAATTGGCCTCCACAGTCAGTCACATACGGACCCATTGTTAAAACCGTGTTTATGGAAGACAATCTTACTTGGCTTTGTATGAGTGATCGCCAAGGAAGGAAGGAAGGAAGGAAGGAAGGAAGGAAGGAAGGAAGGAAGGAAGGAAGAAGAGGAGGAGGCTGGGATCCCAGCAGTGCTGGTGCCAACTCTGCCATTCCTGCCCACTCGAGGTCTTTAAAGGGCAGAGGGCTGGTTTCTTTGCAGTTGCTACTTTAAAAAGCCTCGTGGTTTTGCCTGCTCGCTGGATCACAAACACAGTTGTGGTTGTATGCAGCAAGGCCTGCTGAGCCTTGGCAGCTGATGTACTTTCAACCCGTCTGCGGAGCGATGAGATGCCGCTGGCACACTCTCATCGCCTTCCGAGGCAAACCACCACTTTTTGCATCAAAGGACTCGTGGAAAGCTAGGGAAGCTGGTGGTTTTGGGGAACGTCTTCCATGTTTGGCACGGTCCCCTTCCAGCAACCTCACGAGGGAATGATGCCTGCATAACATGAAAAGCGGCTTCCGTCAGGATTGTTCTATTTACAAGCAAACAGTATATCAATTTTGTTAGCTAATTTTTGTTAGCTAACTTTTGTGAAATAAATCACAATAAAGCGGAGGAAAGCAGCAAACTTACTGTTTACCTGGCATCTGAGCCTACAGCCCAGGTGTGGGGAACTTTTTTCACCTCTGCCAGTCCCAGTGCTTTTTATCCATTAAAAATATTTAAGGTAAAGGTAAAGGTACCCCTGCCCATACGGGCCAGTCTTGCCAGACTCTGGGTTTGTGCGCTCATCTCACTCTATAGGCCGGGGGCCAGCGCTGTCCGGAGACACTTCCAGGTCACGTGGCCAGCGTGACAAGCTGCATCTGGCGAGCCAGCGCAGCACACGGAAACGCCGTTTACCTTCCCGCTAGTAAGCGGTCCCTATTTATCTACTTGCACCCGGGGGTGCTTTCGAACTGCTAGGTTGGCAGGAGCTGGGACTGAGCAACGGGAGCGCACCCCGCCGCGGGGATTCGAACCCCCGACCTGACGATCGGCAAGCCCTAGGCGCTGAGGTTTTACCCATTTTGACTCCAGAAAATCACCATTTTATAGTTCAAATCAGGAAAATAAATACAGTAAATGGACAAAATACTAACATTCACCAAGTGTTTAGGGGTATGCGTCCCCCAGAAAAAAGCACTGCCCAGTCCAATTTATTTTTTTATTGTGGCCTAAGTTTTTGGTGGAGTTAAAGCCCTCTTTATTCCATTTCAAACGTCACTGAGATTGCTGGGAAATGTAGTTTGCTAAGGGTGTTGGGAAGGGAGCCATAGGTCCGTGAGGTCAGCAAACTTAACAAACTACAGTTCCCAATATCTTTTGGGAGAGCCATGACGATGAAAGTGGTGTAAGAGTATGATGTGGATGCAGTTTAAGGGGACTTTCAGGATTAAGAGGAAGGAGCAGTAGCCTTTGGATTAGTTGTTTGGATTTGATATCCCACTTTATCACTACCCGAAGGAGTCTCAAAGCGGCTAACATTCTCCTTTCCCTTCCTCCCCCACAACAAACACTCTGTGAGGTGAGTGAGGCTGAGAGACTTCAGAGAAGTGTGACTGGCCCAAGGTCACCCAGCAGCTGCATGTGGAGGAGCGGGGAAGCGAACCCGGTTCCCCAGATTACGAGGCTACCGCTCTTAACCTCTACACCACACTGGCTCAGGATTAGGAAGACGGCAAGTGAAAGATTGACAGCAGTGAAGAGGTGGTGGAACAATCCAGGATGGGGGACGTTCCTACTGCTGGCCTGTCCACATAGCACCCTAAAAGCATGAGGCAGGGCTGAATGAATGACCCCCCCCCCGATCATTTGAAGATCAAGTTTATCTGATGAATTGGCCGCCAATTGGCCAAAAATTCTGCCACAAGGATGTGTGAATCTGTTGGTTTCAGGTTTTATCAGTTTATAATTTTTCACTTCTCCACATTCCCACCTCAGTTTGAGAGATACATACATATTTAAAGTCCACCTGAAAATCCATCAGCCTTTCAGTGCAAATGTCTCTTAATACACACACACTTGTCCGCAATTTTGCCTAATATACACATTTTTTGCACAGCAATTTCCCATAACTTAACACAACTTTTGTACATTATTTTTTCCATTATAGATGCAATTTTTGGCATATGTTACCCGGGTGTAAGCATTTTTGTACACATTACTCAGCTTGAAAAATGCCTTGCAAAATTCAGAGAAGTGTGGTTTAATTTGCATGTTGCTGGGAACGTTTAAGTAAGTTCGCCTTCAAATTTGAACAGCCGAGGGCAATGGGAACTTACTGCCTCACTTAAGTATGCAACAGGATTGCAGCCGTAGGCTTGTAGACATGTCTACTCAGATGTCAGTCCACTGAATTATATGGGTCTTACTCCCACGTAAGCATTTATGGGATTGCTTACACCGCAATCTTATTATTTGGAGCAGCATTCTTGTCAAGATACGACAAGCGCCCACTATCTGCAATCTCCGGAAACAATTGGAGACATTTTTGTTCTGACAGGCTTTCCCAGCAGCATAAATGAGTATTTACCATAAGTGAGGGTTTTAATCTTGATTTAAATTTGTTTGTTGTTTTAACCTGTTTTGAACTATTTAATATAGAAGCCACCTTGAGATGGTGGATTAGAAGGCAGTTAATAAAATTGAGATGATAATAATAAAATTTAGATGATAATAATAAAATGATGATGATGATAGCTGAGAGGAACACACAGAATTCCATGATTTCATTTTTTTAAGAGCAGGAGTGATGATGTCATTTGTTATTTAAATAACTTTTATACAACTTTAACAGTCCTGGGTTCCCCCAGAGTTTCCTGGGAACTGCAGTTTGTTAAGGGTGCTATTCCTTACATTGCACATGCACCCATAACACGCTACAGTCTTGCAGATTCTCCATGAGTGTGAAAGTGGAATAAAAGCAAGTAAGTGAGGTCATACTGAGGCTAGCATAGGGAGCTAAGCAAGAGAAAGGAGACAATAAACCAGAAACTGGAGATTTATTTCCTTTTCTTTGATGGGGTTCTTACTTCATGCTAGCTGTTCAAATGCTATTGTCTCTTTGCAAGGGAGTTTGCATGTCTAGTTAACAGTTAATTAAAGTTTTAAGTGGCTGAAAGTCTTTTGTCAAAGCTCAGATGTGTCTCACAAGCCCAAAGGATGCAGTCAGGACTGTCAGCACCACTGAGTTCAGCACAAACAATACATTCCAGGGAGGGAACGTTCTTTCATAAGTCGTGGACTTGTAAAAGGGTATTGGGAAATGATCCAAAATGAATTGAAAAAAATGTTTAAAAAACATTTCCCCAAAAACTTTCCCCCAAAAAACAGAGTCCTTTCTGTTGGGGATGATTCAGACTGAAATTCCCAAGTGTCAAAAAAGGTGATTTATGTTTGCCACAGTCTGTGGCTCATGTTTTGTTAGCCCAAAAATGGGAAACGAACGAGGACCCAACCAAAGAGGAACGGCAACTTAAGTTGACAGAATATGTGCAGCTTGTAAACTTAACAGATAGAATAAGAGAACAAGAACATACTTTAAAGAAGATTGGAAAACGTTTATTGACTATATGGGAAATAATTCTGTAAAGCTGAAAACGCTAGCAGCATTAAGATAAATTCAACAGTGTAAATAAATTTTGATGGATGCAATAATGGAATGCTGAATGTTATAGTTTTTGTTAAAACATGTAGGGGTTTATGGTGTGTAAAATGAACCATGGAAAGAGAAGAAGGGAAGTCATTGATACCTTAAGGATGTAAAACGAGTATTTTAAATTGTAAAACAGAAAATTTAATAAAAATTATTTTTAAAAACCCGAACTATACATTCAAGAATGGAGCTGATTCTGATCCTAATAAACTGAGTTTAATGCCATGCGCTGTTCTTTGGTGTGTGCATTTGGGTGTGAATAATAGCGGATCAGCAGAGCTGCCTGCAACTTTTGGACTCGCCTTGGGACTATTGGGGGTCCTGAACCCCAAATTTTACCACTGTTTGTGGCGGCACAATACGCCTCTTCCCTTCTCCAGCAAGAAATCTCCTTTCTTTCCAATGCCACAGCACAATCCTAACCATGTTTTTTTAAAAAAAACCCGGAAATAAATCTCGTGGATATCATCAAGAGACACGATCCCGTAGTCATTTGTGCCTGGCAGGGTCGTTGTGCGGACGCAACATAGAGCTTTAGAACAGAGGAAAAGAAGGAAAGAAGGAAAGAAGGAAGGTCTCTGCCCCGAAGCGCTTTCATTTCAACATTAGGAGAGACGCAACGAAAATAGAAGGGTTGTGTGACTTGACAACAACTTCGATAAAGCTATTTCAGGCTCCTCAAAGGACGAGTCTCCTTCCAGACTGAGGGGAATAGCCTGGCTATGGGGGGCGCAGGATGAGCACAACTGTGGGGTCATAGAAACCATCCTAAGCGGCTGCAGGAAAGGGACCAGACCCTCTTCGCCTTGGGCGGAAGGATATATCTATAGCTCACCTCAGAAACAAGTGCCCCCCCTCAAACTCGGCAACCCCTCCAAACCCCGCCCTTTTTTCCGACACCCCCCCCCTTTGAGAAGAAAATGAGCCCCGTGCGCGTTTTTATTTTTATTTTTCTGAGGGGGGGGGTGGGAACTTGAAGAACGGAATAAAAGAAAACGCGGTCCACAGAGGGGACTATTTGCGCTTCGGTAAAAGACCCCCTGCCGTCGCGCCGCCTTCGCTCCTATCTATTTTCGATTTTATTTTTGTTGGCCTGAGGGGCGGAGGGATTTTCCGAACTGGGTGATAGGGTCCGGGAGCCTGAGACAAGAAAAGGGAGCCGGGGGTGATGGAGCCGCGGCGTTCGGAACGGGGGTGAGGGAAGAGGAGGGAGGGGGGCGGCGAGCGGCGCGCCTGCGCAGTCCGCGCCCTCGCCTGCCTGCCTGCCTTCGCGGAGCAGCCAAACCCCCACCTCCCCTTGCGCGCGCGCGTGTGTATATGTGTGTGTGTGTGTGTGGGGCGCAGGCAGCGGCTCCCTTCTCTGCCGCCGGACCCACAGCGTGCCCCCTCCCACATCCCCTCCCCTTTCCTTTCCCTTTTTTTATAATTTAAACCTCAGGAGCTTTCCTGCGCTTCTCTCTCTTTATTTTTGGGAGTCCCCCCCCTTTCTTCCTCTCTGAGAGGGCTGTTCCCCCCCCAAACCCCCACAATGGCTCAGATACTCCCCATAAGATTCCAGGAGCACTTTCAGGTGAGCAACTATTTGGGGGGTGGGGTGAGGGGAAAGGGATCCCCCCCATCTTCCTCCCCCCCTCCCCACTCATTTCAGCCTTGAGGGGAAAGGGTGGGTGGGTGTGTGGCTTGCGGCCTAGTGTGGCGGTGGGCTTTCCCCCCCCCCACCTGGGGGAGGGGTTTGAATGGGGTTGAGGGGCGGGAAGAGACTCCTTGGAAAAGGGCGAGGGGTTCCCCTCTAGGGGGGTGGGATGGGGTGGGGAAGAGGGCCAGAGAGAACGAATTGTGGGGCAGGCAGGCATCTCTCGGGTGGTGGTTAGCTTGGGGTGGGGGGCTCTCCTCTTTCGATTTCATAAGCCTTTATTGTTTGATAACCTTTTATTGTTTCCTTTTTATAACCCTTTATTCATTCCTCCTCCAGGCAGGATGGCGCAAAGCCTGCCCTGGCTTTTAATTTGGCGCTTGGGGAATGGTGGTGGGGAACATATATATATTTATATAGAAGACGCACACAGATATATATACACACACATGCATATTGGAAAATCAGAGTCGTGCTCTTCATTTCAATTATTTTGCCCTTGTTGCACCTGATTCTGGCTTGGTGAGGTTTCCTAGGTTTTGATGGCAGCCTTTTGCGGGTATTTGTGCAGAGTCACTGGCTGCCTGAATGACTGACTCTCCTCCTCCCCCTCTCTCTTTTTTTGGTGTGTATGGAGAGGGAGGCTCCGAGTTGCTTGTCTGCATTACTACACCATAAGGAATATTTGTGGGGAAGGGAGTGCAGAGAAGGACATCTTCACATTAGAGCATGGAAAACGGGCCGCACCTGCGTCCCTGCATTTCTGTGGTTTTTTTTTTGCGGCCGATCCATCGGTTGTGGGGTGGTGGCCGCGGCTTGTGTTTGGGAACCTCTGAGCCATGCAAATGGATCTGCAAGATGGGGAAGGATTGAGCAAATAGATTGCATCTTGTTCCGGAGAACGGCAGGGCTCTGAAAATCTGTTCCCTTCTTGCAGTACTTCTGTCTCTTCTAGAAGCATTCCTGGTGCTACTTTAAAAACAAGAACACAACGCTACTCACTTGGGAGGATGGGCTGCTTTAAGGAAATTGATCCCAGTCTCAAATAGTGAGGCAAAGACTGCAGATAGTTACGTGAAAGAACTGCTATTTGGGGTGGGGAGAGGAGAGAGAGATTGCTCTGAATCAAGTGTAGGGGGAAGTGTTTGCTTAAGAAAAGGCAGTTTATGGCAGGAATTAAAGGAATTCTCTAAATGAATGAGAGAACAGGAAGTGGACTTGGCAAATGCTCCCTCCTTTACCCCTCCCTTCCCCTCTCAGGACAGAGGCATCCATTTCAAAATGTGAACTGCCTGGTGACACCATGCCTTTTGTTAGTGTTTAGTACTGTGTGCTGAATTTCACATTTCTCATTTAGTGTTGTTTAAACATCTTAGGTTTCCCCTAGTGAGTGGTATGAGCTAAGTGCTTCATAGTTCCCAGGCACACAAGATGTAGTTGTATTACGCACTTGGTCCTATAGACGTTTCTCCATATAGCTGAGTAACAGCAACAAAATACCATAAAAATGAAATTGGGGTGTGGGGAGAAAGCTTAATGACTAAGGGCTTATTAGCTGGGTGCGTGTTGACTTGGAAGTAAGTTCCACTGTGTTCAGTGAGACATATGCCTAGGATTGCAGCCTTAAAATTCTCCCAACATTTGTACTCCACATGAGTTAAGTCTCAGATTTGGATTCACAGGAAGTATTAGTTGCACATAAGTATCACATTTCTATTCAGCTTGACTTTCCAGTAGATTCCTTAACACTGCAAATCACTTTGATTCTATGGCTATCTTCAAACTTTCTTAAAATTTTTTTCTGATTTAATTCAATCATTGTTCTTCAGCTAATTGCCTTCCAGATTCCTTTTTCAGTCGATTTCGCATTCTGCATAATTTCTTCGGTTTCATTAGCCGCTGGGCTTTCTGGTCCTTCAGCTTCTCAATATTTATTTCAGTTATGTCCCTCTGTTCCTCCAAAGAGTTCCAGATGGTGTACATAGCCCCTTCCCCCTCTCCATTTTATTATCACAGCAAGCCTGTGAGGTGGTTAGACTGAGAGATGGTGGCTGCCACAAGGTCATCCAGTGAAGTACATGGCTGAGTAGGGATTTATATTTGGGTCTCCCCAGTCCTAACCACTGCATTGTACTATCTGGGACCTGTGCAATGTTTTAACTTAGCTGAACTTGCACAAGCCATAACACCAGCTTGGTCAGTGAGTGATGGAAACATCACTGCCATAAGTGCAATAAAGAATAAGCTGTACTTTAGTTTTGAACATGAGCACTAAATACTGATTGGTCACTGCTGTAACAAGACAGTGTTACATTGGCATTCCATATATAAAGAAAAAAGGTTCAGACTGGAAATACTGGATTTCTGTATATTAACCAGACACAAGCTGCAGGTATAGTTTTAGAAGGGGGAGTACTGACAGATTGGTGTGTATGGTGTGGGCATCTCTCAGTATCTTTCTTTCTTTGTGGGGTAAATAACATAAACAATTTTCTGAATGGGTACCGGTACTCTGGGTATTCTGTTCTCCTATACAACTGGGTATTCTGTTGTCCTATACAACTTCCTGGGAGACTTTCAGATTGTCTACAAAGTTTTGGGAGGGGGGGAAGCAGACCAATTTATTATCATGTAGGCTTGGTATTTAACCTTTTACTTGTGTTTCAACAGAAAATGAGATAACTCTTTTAAAATTACATTTTAAAATTGTATTTTAACTGGAAGATAACTGGAAGTTACAAGCACTCTTAAAATAGACTCCAGAATCCCTCAAGGTGGTTGTTGTTTTGTTGGACAACTTGGTGCAATATGTAGAGTGAATTATATCAATCTGTGGGGCGTTTGCCTACCTTCATGAGTTGTAATTCCACAGATCCTTATTGCTTAGCCCAGGGATGGGGAACGTGTGGCCCTCCAGATCTTATTGGACTAAAACTCCCATCATCCCTGACCACTGGCCAAGCTGGCTAGGGGCTGATGGGAATTGTGAGTTCTGGAGGGTCATAGGCTGACCATCTCTGGCTTAGAGATGCCATTGCCAGTCATAATATTAAAAGGTGCTATACAGTATTTTCATATGTAATCATAAGCCATTGCAATATCCAGTACATTTTACTGTAACATTAATTACAAAAAAATCCCTACTCATTTACTGTTTAACTCAACACTTCAATAACAGAGTTGACAGTCTCCTACTATCTGACATTCTTCATCTCTCTTCACTATTGAAATCTTGCTGGCGATCATATGGGATTTTGCCCGTTTAATAAACAAAACAGCAGATAGAATGATAGCCAAGTCAAATATGATCTGGTTTGTCAGCAAAAAGGCCAGTAAGTCCTTTCCCAATCGAGCCTCTTTCCCACACTCAGTGACTTTGCCTGTCCAGGGCAATTATATAGACTGTACTGTTAAAGGGGTGTCAATGCCCTAATGTAACCGAATAGTTTGTCTTATGCAATCTTGCCAGGAAAATTACTCTTGCACACTTTGGATAGTTAAGTTTGGTTCTGTATGGTAGAAGAAAACTCTTGATACTCAGCTTTAGGTTGAAAGGAGATAGTCTTTATATATTAATCTTTGCCAATAACTCATAAACCTAAATCCATGATACACTGCCTTACCAGGCCCAAAACTATATATGTTTGTTTTTCTGGCTAACTTTGATATTCTGGCTGGTTCGTGGCTGCCCATTTGTTTTGGATAACATAATCCAGTAACAGTCCTGCTATTTACTAAAGATGCCAACTTCAATAGATTAGCTTTGTCTCTTAACAGAAAGGATGACATACCATATGGTACTCAGTTACTGATTTTGAATGGATCCAATCTTCTTCAGATCCATATTACCCCAAAGCTGTGCTCTGTGGAGCAGCTGACCCACAACTGTTGCCTGAAAAAAACATTTTTGAAGTGTATGTGGAGTTGATTGAGTTGGAATTCTGCCCTGGAAGTATTTGCATTTTTGTTTCTAGATCATGGTGTAAGAGGAAAATCAAAGTACGGGCAACTCCTCACTTGTGCACAATCTATTTGAATGTGGCTGCCCACGTGTGGGAACACAAGACTCGCAAGGAGACCCTCCCCGGAGCCTGAAGAGGACAGAGAAGAGAGAGGGGCTTTGTTTTGGATGCTCGGCCTACCTGCCTAACAGCTGATGCGTGGGAAAGTGCCTGCTGCTGCTGCTGCACTACCCTGTATGTCAGTTGCTAGGTAGGAAGGCTGAACAGCCTCAACAAAGCCCTGCTGTGCCTCCGACTTGCGAGGAGACCATCCCCAGAGCCCGAAGAGGGCCACCTTGTGAGCCACAAGGACCCTCCAGGGTGTTCCCCACTTGCACACATTTTGCTTATGTGCAAGGAGCCCCTGATTGTAACCTCCACGTAAGTGGGGAGTCACCTGTAATAACTATGCTGCTCTTCAATGACTGAAATCAAGTTCCAATTCATTCAAAGGATGTAGCATAGGCATGGAGAAAGCTATGAATGCCATGGTGCTTTAGTTCGGTTGTGTTGATTTTTGGAGAGTCATGGAGGAGCTAAACCTCTTCAAAAATTAAATGGAAAGACGGAAGAATATCCTGTTTGTCTGATTAAAATAGTTTGTGATGTTTAATTATTACTTTTGTGAAAGCTTGGCATAAGTAACAACTGCATGCCAGCATCTACTAGCATTCCTTGAATTTCGGATGTTTAGATCAGGTAGCCTACCTGTGAGATGAGTTGTCTAAGATATTCCTGAGACAACATGCAAGGTTATGGTCTTAAGGCAAGAACCTTGGTGCAAAGCACTGAAAGCATTTCAAGTCTGCCAGCATCTTATGACAAAAACGCCATGAGCACACCTACACATTCTTCTAGATGAGTAGCTGGCAAATCATTATCTGAATAGAACCCCTCACTGACAGAATAATTTCCTAAGGAGAATGCAGTCGTGCT